TATGGAGCTTTGGGTTTACAGGCGTCGGCGCATTGCAATTCCCCGTGTACAACATGATTTGTAATGACTTGATGCAACAACGAAAGGGTCGCGGCCTCTTAGGGAGAGGAAGACAATTATTGCTTGGCTTCGGAAATGGTTTTTGTTTCTTGCGAGGGGGGAATTCACGTTCACAATACCAAGATATTTTATTTCTTTTGTTCTTAATAAAAAAATCCCAGGTTTACTTCCACTACGCTCGCCAGGCACTGACAATGTGGATAACGTCTTCATCCGCGACCAGGTGGTTTAAGCCGACTCTCTGGGGGATGTGCCTTGCGCTCGCTCCCCAGACCAGCGCATACTTGAACGTGTCCTTCAGCGTTCGGTGAATGGAGTCGCAGACGTCCTCGATGGTGCTGTTACTTCGTACGATGAGCGCCTCGTCAAAGGTTGGCTCCGCGCCCTTCCGCTTCGTGTAGATGCGGATGAGGCGCAGTTCCTGCCAGCACCGGTCCACGACATCCTGGATCCCGAGGTCCAGCTCGCAGCTCATGACCACCGTGTGCGGCTCGCGCGCCAGCTTGTCCAGAAAGTCCAACGACACGCTGTCGATTTTGTTGTACACGTACAAGCACTTGATGTACTTGCGGTGGTCCTTCATGATGACATCGATGAAGTCGTCCACGGTGGCATTTTCATCCCGGACGAGGACCTCGCAGTTGAGGATCTTGTAGTCGCGAAGAATGTTGTAAAGCATTTTCTCGTCGAGATTCTTGGGCGGAGTCTGGAATGTGATTTTCATGCCGCCCGCCTTCTTCGCTTTTAGGTAGATATTGCTACAGTAGTTTTTGATAAGAGAGGGCGGCAGGCGAAAAGAGGTGAGGAATGGTGGCACTTACGGCGGTTCCCGGTTAAGCCTGATGCCGACGGCTTCCAACTCTGCCTCTAGCAGTGCTCTCTGCTCTGCTCTCTTCGTTGCGTCAAGGACCATGAGAATCAAGTCGCTTGTCTTTGCCGCTGAGATGACCTGGCGACCTCGTCCCTTGCCCTCGGAGGCACCTTCGATGATTCCTGGCAGATCGAGCAGCTGGATTTCAGCTCCGCCATACTCGAGCACACCGGGAATGGCCGTAAGAGTAGTGAAGGCATATGAGGCGACCTCGGACTTCGTCTTGGTGACCTTTGATAGGAAAGTCGACTTGCCCACAGAGGGGAAGCCCACAAGGGATATTCTGGCATCACCACTTTTGCTGACGTCGAAACCTGAGCCACCGCCGCCGCCGGCACCTGGGCCTGGTTCCAGGAGTTGGGCTCGTAAGCGAGCGAGTTTTCTTTCTTCGTATTAGCATCTGGACGACTGTCTTATGAGTGGGCGGGGCTTTGGCCAGATGCCGAGACATGAAGGGTCGGGTTTCGGTTCTGGAGTTTGGATCTGAGCACTCCATTCCTCAGGAGATTTCACATACCCTTTTAGTAGACCAAGATGGTATTCTATATAGGAACAACATAAGTAAGCAGGCCTAACAAAGGGTGGGATATTGCCGCTCACCAGTAGCCTTGTTCTCTATATTTCAGACATGTTGTTAGTTATTATGTCTTATCAGGATCGAAAGACATGCGATAATCAATTTTTTCCGCAAGAATAAGACCGCAAATCTGAGACTGTCGCGATTTCCTTGTCCTTGCTTCGATTATACAGCAATTATACCGGCACATAGGCAGTCCTCTTGTTGTATAATAATAGAGTCGAGACTTCCAGAATGAATAAAAAATCTCCAGAAAATAGCTTTTGCTTACTTTGAGTCTTCCTCATCTCATCCTCAATCCTGTCCATGGTCAATAAAAGGACGATTCATTCAATACGACCATCTCACTCACTCCTTGATCTTTTCTGTAATGTTGACCATTTTGAGGCCAGATTTTTATAGACGGTATCCCGTCTTTTTTTCTACAATGAAAAATGAATCGTATAACTCCAGCCACGAATGGCGATCTTGCTGATGAGCGAGGATGGCTTGCTCGTCCTCGACACCAATGTGGGGGACTCGTAGATTTCTGGTGGAGGGGTTTTCCATAGCCAAATCAGGCTAGCTTGTCCTCCGGACCAGGTCACATGACCTTCTTTTCTCAACACAACGGTCCTCTACCAGGAGCTGGTTTCATTGACCTAGCTGTCGCGATTGAACAGCCCGGCCGCGACAGCTTCATCCGGCTGCAGCGACTTATGGTATTGGCTCTACCTCCTTAGAGTTGATGAATGCTGGATATTAATGCCCAACCAAGGCCGCTATCCTGACTACCCATTGCCACTTCTCGTGCGGCGTCGGGGAATTTCCGTTCACGTTATTATAAACAACGTTCCCGAATTCGCTTTGAAGCCCCGTGATGTATTAGCCCGAGAGTACTCGACGGTAGCCCATATATCGTCGCATAGCTCTGGCATCTTGTTGCGTAGGGTCTTCAAAGATCGATCTAAAATTGATAACTTAGGCACGCCGAGGCAGGCGAAGTCTCGACCGATACGGCGGGACAACTTGCTGTTCATGTCCATTCTTGCAGGATTGTCTAGGCCCTTTGGTTTAACCCCCTCTATGAATAATACATCCATACTAATCCACTGCCTGGGGATGAACTGTTTCCTCCTGCCCATCATCGCGATGTCGGAGTAGAGCCTGCCCGTTCACGCCTTGTTGTCTGGCTTACTTTTCCTGAGCTCCGACTTGTAATCGCTCGTGGGTATAACTGGGAGGAACTCATTGTGCATGGCCGTGACGGTGTTTTTGGAGATGCTCATAAAGTACTTCTTCTTCGGACCAGTTCCACGGACACATGGCGGTTCCCAAGTTTTAGGCTGATCATTCTAGCGATGAGATGGGATGTTGCCCAAAAAAAACCTCCATCTATGAGTGGTGGCACGGATGATGGTATCGATGCCAGCGTCCGATCGCTTGGTCGCTTTCTTCATTGTTGGATGGCTAGAACATACGCGGGAGAGGTCGGCGTGGAGCTGGTAATGCGGTAGTTAAGTATTTTCTTGCCTGTGAAAGGATTCTTTATCAAGTAATCGACAAAGAGTGTGTGTGTACTTGGTGGTTGGTCGATGGGGGCGCAGAGACTTCTGGTGTATTGTGCTTGATTTTGGTTTGTTTTTCCCGTAGCTTCGGTTTTGCTGAGGTCTGGTTTTTTTCTATTGCGACAGAACACATTTACCATGTAGATTTGGTCATTTCTTATAAGTGCTTATACCTTTGGTTACTTACCTGCCTGGTTGTGGCTCCCTGCCAGACGAATCTGGTTTTGCGAGACCCAAGGAGTAAATTGAACGGCAAAGAAAGAGAGAAAACCCCTGCTAGAAAAGCAAGATCCCGCCCACCCAGGCTTTTGTTATCAAGCAGCCTTGACTTGGGAAAAGAGTGGATGAGAGAAGAAAACGGATAAGTTCAAAGAAAGAGAGAAGCAGGTTGGGAGAGAAAGAGGGAGAATAGGCGGGAGAGAAAAGAAGATGCCCTATCCATTTCCTGATGGTTAGATACCACTTCTCGAGGAGACTAGCTGACGCGAACCCCCATGCCTTTCATAATGCGCACATTATGAGTAGGACATGGAATTTTACACCGGGTTGCCGCTGGCCGTAGGAGATAAGCGACAGTGCAGCACCAGGAGAATGGGGATGCCAGCCAAAGAGGGGGGGAGAGGTTGTGACCAGGTAAGATGACTGAAGAGGTAGTTTTTGATGACGATGATGATATGTGATGATGAAGATGAACAAGATAGTTGAGATGTTGTGCGGTGATGGAAGAAAGAACTGAAGGAAGAAGAGTCAAGTGAAGTGGTGGGTCAGGTGTAACGGCAGAGCCTCAGAGAACAGCCAATCTCACGCCGGCACGCAAGTTTGTACCACCAAGGCTGCCTGCTTCAATATTAGGCAGGCGCATCCTAAGGCATCTTCACGGGAGACTGCGAAGGCACCAAAATGCGTGAGGTTTTGCAAGTGCGGTTGGATCTTACAAGTGAATTGTCTTCTTGCACATAGTCTAAATTCATATTACAAGACTTTAGAAACTACTACTCCTAGCGCCCGACTCAATTTTCATACACCGTGCAAGCGACTCTCTTCCAGTACTTCTTATTGTTATTCCCGAAATTAAAGTCACATCAGTCAGTCTCACTAAAACTCAGATTTCTACTGCAGTTCTCTGCATGCCTCGTTGCAGGACGGATATCCATCCACCCCAAAGCAGGCCAGCTACCAATCAAAGACTACGGTAGGCCGCAATGTCACCATTTTCTCTAGCATTGCCTTACCTTGCCTTGGTCTGTGCTTCTAACCGCTGTTGTTCTCTTCCTTTGTTTGCGGCGTGAGGGGCCAAACAAGAAACATGGAGATTATTAACTAAGAAGAAAAGCGGAAAATCCGAAACTCGATGTGTAGGCAAACAGTTTTATTTACCAATTCTGGGTACAGCCTGGTGGTTTATCTTCAACCAGAGAGTGGATTGTGCTGCTAGTAGTATCCGGGCAAACACCTTGCCCATTGCTTTTTCTTTTGTTCTTTTCACTTACCAAGCAAGCTTTTGAGAATAGGGCTTAATGGTAAGCTCAGCCTCATCCTGTTCACAAGACACTCATTGTGTATGTATAACTACCTACTTTTCCTCCTCTACTACTTCCATCATCTCATCCTTTGTTCACCCATCTCTCAACTACAAAATACAAGGCTAGCTATTAGCATGATGAACACGCCACGGACTGGAGAAAAAGTGGTGGAAGTGACTATCAATCATTCCAACTCCCCAAATCCACGTAACTACCGCGATCTAGAGGCGAGCAACAACTAAGATGACACTGAGTTGAATACCCCTCGGCCTAAACGCCGTCGATTCGACAATAACCCCGATCAAATCGCCCAGCAAAAGGATGAAAACTACTCAAATGACCATGAACCCAGGCAAAGAGATTCTGTTCCTTTGGGGCTTACTTGTGACAATCAGGTCACTAGGATTCTATCCCAGCTTGAAATGTTGAATACCAATCTAGAGGAGGTCGGATCAACAACAGCAAATCAGGTTTATGACCTCAAAAAGGAAGTTGAAGATCTCAATAAGATATTCTCCCTAAAGGAAACTCAACTTGAGGATACTGAGCGAGAGATGGTTGGTATGCTAGAGCAGAAGGCAGATCAATGGAGGGAGGAGCTGAAAAAGATGGCTGCCGACTGGAAGGATGAGCTGGAGAGGATGGCTGCGGATTGGAAGGATGAGCTTATCGAAAGCATTCTTAATAGGAACCCCAGTCATGTTTCTCTGCGATGGAGACACAGGGAGGTGGAGTGAAAGCATGACTCACCCTGCGAAGGTACTCGGATATCGTTGTCATAGAGACAAGTACCTGATGGCTTTTCAAGTTTGGCAAGTGAACATACAGGCCTGGATGAGTAACGGTTGATTCTTACAGTTGATGTATGTCATGGGCACGCTTTACTCGCGCGACTATAGAGTCGCTTTATGTAAGGGAGGGTTGATAGGAGGCCGCTGAGGATCAACCCGTCCCGCTCCTAAACATCAACAAATAGGGGGTGCTACATGCGGGTAATTGTTATATCTCAATTTAGACGCAAAATCGAGGTGCAGTAGTGTGAGTTTCACTCAAGATACACAGTTGATCAGCAGTTCGGGGGCCTTGATCAGTATCGGAGCTCTATTGTTTGAAGAAGACTGGAGAACTTAGAGCCACCTATTGGGGCCATGGACCCGTTGAGAGCCTCATTTTCACCCTCGCTATGTATATGCTTGCCGTCCTTGTCATAGGCGCATTAGAGAAGATCCTTGTCATCACGACGAGCAGTGCGTCTAATCTTGCCCCTTGGAAGCCACAGATCGAGCATTTATAGGGCCACTTTCCAGCTAGTGGCGCTAACAGATAAGTTGAAGATGCTGAGAGGGATATGGTTACTGTTGAAAGGAGGTATCTGCATGGGAAAGTTGGTAGAGACAAATGAAATCATACCAGCGTCCAAGGGCCCGGTTGATATTAGGCCCCGAGATCTACTCTTACACACGAGTCTGTTGCAGACCACACAAGTTATCTTCGCTTTGACTTTTCTCAAAAGTCTTTTTGTCCATAATGCTAGCCTACGACTTTATGTTGTGATTGTTGATTGGCGACTGTGGGACAGTGTCAATGTCCGGGCTGATAACCAGTGAGTTGAGTGATGTGTAAAGACTAAGTTAAACTTCCGTAACTAAGATAAGGCAGATGATTACTTCAAACGGCTCGTTTGGAGACAAATCTGAGTAACTAGAAGCTTCCTTCAATCAATGGTTCCAGGGGGCTGTAGCACACAGCTGAGAACCTGTGTATCCTGAGTTGCTTCCTGCTAGCAATCAGGTTTCATGTAAGTGAGATATGTGCCAGAGCCACCAATCGTACTGGTATCCGGACCTGTTTGACCTCCTTTGCACCTTACATCTCCGCTAACATTACATTAGCTGATGGCTTAGCTTCCTCCACAATTCTCTCCTACTGATTTCATATTTCTTCTCTCATATTCTTTTTGTTGATTTTCTCTTTTATACTACCTTGCTGACTTTTCGGCTCGTCTGGCTGTGAAGGCTAGTATCTTGATTATCAATGGCTGGGAATCCGACGGACAAGGTCAGCCGCAATGGCAATGATGAGGATGAGAGCATCGAAATAACACTCAAGAACGAGCGGACTTTGCTGCGCTGGCAGAATGATGGCGGAGATGCTAGCAGTGAATACAGCCTTCTACCCGGCAACTGGTACCAGAGAGCTTTCATCAGTACGCCTAAGCGAGGGAGTCCTACCATGTACTTCCGAATCAAGGTGGCAAAGGAGGTATTTCTCCTTATCATACCTCCGGGAAACGTTGAATCAGTATCAACTGCTCCTAGCACGGGTATCAAGAGCATTCCCGAGCGCTACCATCGGACCAAAAAATGGTGTACCCTCGGCATTCATCTCATGAAACCTGGTGTATTAGCCAAGAAGTCGGTTCCTGGAACTATAAATCTTGCAGTAGTACCGCAGGAGCTGAAGGAGTTGGCTTCGGCCATGAGTGTTTCCGCTCTTCTGCCCATTAGCCACAAAAAGAAATTCGATCGCCTTCGTCCTTTATTGATGTGCCTCGATAAAAATCCTGACGGCATGGGGGATCTACTCCAATCCCATGGTCCGCTTCAGATTATTAGAGTCAATGAAGCTGATGCGGGCAACAAAGCTCCAATACCCGTCTGCCCAACTCAGGAGGAAAGTAAGCGCGCTTTCTCTTTACTTTTGATTCTCTTTTTTTCCTTGATTCCTCTTTTCTGCGCTCTATTCCTTTTAACCGTAAGATCTCAGAGCAGCCGCACAGCCAAGAAGAGGAACTTTCTCAGTATGAGAGAGCCATAACGCCTCCTGTTAAGACCGAAAGCTGCGTAAAAGAGCGAACAAAGCGAGCAGATCAGCAGGTTAAGCCTGGGCTTAATAAACTGTGTCAAAGCAGGACACAGGCTGACAAATCTCTGCTTTCTCGCATCGAAGCACTAGAACGAACGGTTCAATGGATAACAAGTGATGCTGATGATGCAATCAAGAAAGCTGAGGTTACAATTTATGACTTCCGAAAAGAAATGAGGATACTCATGGATAGGTTTAGCGAGGATTGCCAACAGTTGATCGACGGCGTTCGTAAAGATCTTAAGGGACAGCTCATGGAGGAGATGAACGAAACGAGAGATAAGATTATGAATACCATATATCATGGCGATGACTACAGATTGGATCTCTTTTTTGACGAGAACAGACTTCAATCAACTGAGGAAGAGTAACTGCTCGACGAGGTACCAGCCAACATACTCAAGGCTGTGCCTGCTTAATGTAGAGTAAGGAGAATAGAAGCTTCGACGAGATTGATCCGCACACTGAACGTTTGTGGACGACACATTGGCTTTATGTAACTGTTTACGGCTTGACTGTCTCAGTGACTGATGGTGAGGTCCGGCTTCCAGCGATCACTCGTCTAAACAGCAGATAGCTGGGTTGAGCTTCTAGCTACAAGATGTCGCGATGCATACCTAGCCACTTGATAAGGCAGCCACGACAGCTAGATCAGGGCTACACCGATCGTTCGTCTTAATGGATGATGGCGAGGACGGCCGCTGAATCTAATCGATCCTGACAGTTTCGAAATAAACAAACATTGTTGAGGCTATCCCGGTTTCACTAGATACACCCTAATAGTGGGGCAAATTGAACACCGGATTCGCCACACCGCTTACCATATTCGACTCCCTAGAATATTCCCCATAGTTGCCTTGGCGATAAGATAAGGATCCTAGGTTTCTTGATGCTGGCGCGATCAGCCGCGAAACCTCAATAGAGACCACCATTTGAAATCGTACCACGCAACAATGGCCGACGAGACTGCGCAGATCGAGACAGCTCCGGCTGCTGAGCAGATTGATAATGAGGCCGGTGCACTTGTCGCGACCAACACCGAGGTCGCGCCGCCGACGGGGAAGAAAGTCGTGAAGAAGATTATTCGAAAGAAGAGACGACCTGCGCGCGTACAAGTCGACCCAGATACCATCAGTTCGGAACCGCCGCCACAGACGGGAACAATCTACAACATCTACTACAACAAATGGGCTGGAGGCGACAAGGACCAGCTCGTACAGACCAAGTCGAAGGGTCGCTGTAATGTCGCAAAGGACAGCGGATACACAGAGGCAGACGCGACGTCTGGGAGCTACTTCTGCCTCATGTTCGCCAGAGGGTTGTGTAGCAGGGGGCCTTCTTGCTCGAAATTACACAGGATTCCCGGGGTTTTCGACATCGTCCCTCCGAATGTGGACTGCTTCGGCAGGTACGTTTGATCTTGGGTGTCTTTCGACTGACGGACCCTTTGTCTCTTGATGTCCATTGGCTAACATTGTCTATAGAGATAAATTTGCAGGCTACCGAGACGATATGGGAGGTGTGGGATCTTTCATGCGACAGAATCGAACAGTATACATTGGTCGAATACACGTTACGGATGATATAGAGGAGGTTGTCGCCCGCCACTTTGCAGAATGGGGACAAATAGAGCGAAGTAGGTTGATACCGGGCTCTTGTTACTGAATCATGCTAATCGATGCGTTTAGCTCGTGTTTTAAACAGCCGTGGCGTGGCATTTGTCACATACACCAACGAAGCAAATGCCGAATTCGCAAAAGAGGCGATGGCACACCAGTCGTTAGACCACGATGAGATTCTCAATGTGAGATGGGCGACTGCTGATCCGAACCCCATGGCTCAGGCACGAGAAGCTAGGAGAATCGAGGAGCAGGCCGCCGAGGCAGTTCGACGTGCTCTCCCCGCGGAGTTTATTGCCGAAATTGAAGGGAAGGACCCAGAAGCGAGAAAACGGAGGAAGATTGAGGGTAGCTATGGGCTTGAGGGTTATGAGGCTCCCGATGAGGTTCACTTTGCCCGGGGAGCACAAGCAGTGAACCCAAATGGACGAGAAGAACTCGAGTTGGAATACCAGGAGCCGCTGGCGATCGAGGATGGCCCAGTCCATGAGCAAATGCTTGATGCTCCTGTGTCAGCCCCTACAGAATCAGGCGGAATCCTCTCCGGCAACACTATTGCGGCGTTGAATAAGGCCAAGATTTCGATTGCAGCAAAGCCAAAAACCGCTTCATCAGGGCCACTCGTGGCCTACGATAGCGACAGCGATGATGAATAGCGGGATTGTTTCTGATAGTAGCATCTTAGCTCCGGGAGTTTTTGTTAATAGACCATCTGGTATTCACGATAATACTACACAAAATTTTTGTTATGATTGCCTATAACTAGCTATTGAATATTCTTGAATAAAGGAGCTCATGTCGACCAATCCATAAATCCATCACGGGCACGCTCTGCCCAGCTTCCTCGACAGGCGTGTTCCATTCCCTATCAATCATCAACTCGATCATATGCTGTACACGCTCCCCTGCCAGCACTTTCTGGGCTTGGAACGGCCCAAACACACTGGCTCTGACCGCTGCGGAGATGAGTGCTTTGACGTGACTTAACATGAAGACGTAGGCCGCCTGACGAAGGCTCAGCCCAACGATGGCGCAGATGGCACCGAAAAGCGGCGCCAGGTGCGCAGATACCGCTGGGATTTCCCCCTTGCTCTCCCTCAGTAGCGTCGAGAATTCCCTCAGCAGCTGTACTTCTGGCACCTCGGATACCGTGGATCGAAAGGACCTCTCCCAGACGGTGAGCAGCGCACGGCCTTGGGCGATGCTTGCCCGGCGGCCCACGGTGCAGATGACTGCCGCGTCAAGCTGGTCATCCAAGTCGAAGAGGGACTTTGGATCGCGATGAGCAGCGAGAACGAATGGCAGGGTTGTGGAGGCGAAGGACGAGACGGACGAGGGCAGGAAGTCTGAGAAGGTGGATGAGCGGGGGTTGTGAGCTAGGTAGGACTCGAGGCCGCTGCTGAAGGCAAATGCGCCGAGGGGCAATGCCGAATCCGACAAAAGAAAAAGAAAGTGAGTCGATGAGGATGGCGATGCTAAAGCGTGAGTTTATCAGTCGGGTTATGTTCCTCGTTGATGAAGCTCTGGTACTCACGCTTCAAAATGGCAGGTGTCGGACCTCCATCCTTGGTGCTCAATTGCGATAGTTTCAGTCTAGCACGGGCATCTTCAAGCTGGGCCTCTAGCTCCTCAATTTCATGAGTGATTGACGCTGTGTCACTGGTTGCCGTGCTCAGAGCCATAACTCGCTCAGTTGTTAATGTAGGTTTAAGATTGGAACATGTCCACATAGATAAGGCTACGTGCAATGTGAGACCTATCATTATCACCATAACTCTAAAATCACAAGTTAAAGGAGATACTGAGATTTACGGCAGGACTTGAGAATGAACAAGTCGATTACTTGCTTATGAATTGATGATGAGATACTATTCAATGCAATCCTGAACGCCCACGCTTGACCAAAACCACAAATAACCAGAGTACGCCGTTTATGCCGGCTGTACATTCTCCTTATCAAAATCATTCTGCTTCTGCATTTTCTTCATCGCGATTCGCTTCTCGATCCGTGCTAGAGCAGCAGCCCTTCGCTCTGGTGGGAGCTTGCTGTTGGAGGTATCGCGAGTCGCACTCTGTCGCTTCTCTTGTCTATTAGTGTGTACTTCGGGTGCACCAAGCTTAGCAAAGCGATCGTGCAACAGATCAATGCCTGCATCCATCTTTAATCTAGATGGCGGCCTCTCAGATCGTGAAATCAGCTCAGCAAGAGCAGGAAGATCCGGGGCTTTGATATCCTTCGGCTTTGTCGTCACCGTGACACCGCCATTCTCGATTCGATCAGCTAAATCATCGCCGAGGTAGGCTCTATTTCGCGGGGACCTGGGTACGAACGGCTGCCACCTAGGCTTGTCCAGTACTGGTCGATTATTGAGCGCACCAGACATGGCGATGGGTATGGGATCCTCGACGGTTGCCCGAGGCCTGAATTCACCGTTCACTGGCTTTTCTCGAGCAGTTCGATGCCTGGTAGAAGTAAATCCTTTACCAGGGGAGCCTTCGGGCGTTCTCGAAATAACTTCATCTGGCATTTCTCGCGTCGCGGCTTCGGATTGCCGAGGTCGTGCCCTCATTTCTGCCACGTTTGAACGTTGGTTGGCCATATCCGCGCCAGTCGTAGCCTCCAGAGCATCCTGTTTATTGGCATTTTGCCTTGGGATAGGATCTGCACCACCGCTTTTGAGCGTTTTAATCTCCTTTTTAAGATCCGATATCTTGCTGTGCGCTCTTTGAAGAACATCATTCCTATCCTTCTCTTGAGCCTGGCTTTCCTCTCTGTAGGCCTCAAATTCCTTCTTCAGCTGTTGTATTTCTTCATCTTTTCTCCGTGATTCTTCTCGTTCTTGGCGGAGTTGTGCCCTTAGTTCTTTGGCTCTTGGTAGGCCATCTTCACGGTGCGCCCCGCTCCCCGCCTGGTCAGCTCGTTCTTCCGCGGCCTTCAGTCTTTCTTTCAACGATGAGACTTGGTGACGAAGATCATTGAGCTCTTTAGCTTGATTCCTAGCCTTGCGCAATTCCCGTTGCGTCTCAAGAAGGGTCCTTTGGGTACGGGGCGACGCTCCCATTCTCCGTCGTCGAACAGTAGGCTCCGCGGTATCCTGTCTGTCCTCAAGAAATTCCTCCAGCTGATTCTCCAAGTCTTGAACCTGTTCCTTGTATTCCTTGGCAAGAGCAGTCTGCTTTGCGAGGTTTGCCAGCACCTCGGGCGAAGCATTCTCTGACTTGTTCTCGAATCGTGATATAATTTGTGAAGCATTCTCGGTAATCTTCTTTTCCATGTCAATCACTTTTTGCTGCTCGGTTTTCAGTTTTTCCGCGAGGTTAATAGCCTCGGCGTCCTTCTGTCGAGCGTAGGATTTTGCTAGTTGCTTATACTTGAGCATCTTCTCCATCTCTGTCCTCGCGTCCTGTTGGTATTTTTCAAATTCATGCTTCCAGTACAGTCCGGACTGGGAATGCGGTTCGTTCAGGTCAACGGTGATGTCGTGGCTGCAGAGATTCTCGGGGTCAACGTCATCATCGTCCTCCTCCCAGTCGTCATCGGAGGCAGGTACATTTCCGCCGGCTCCTGCCGCCTGTTCTTGTTTGGTGGCCTCGGAAGAAGTCGCTGATTTTGCGCCTTTTGGCACATTTATGTCCCTGATGGCGATTTGGCTTGATTCTTCAAGCAGCTTGCTCCCCCCTCCAACATCGCGACCGAACGATACACGCTTGGGTCGTGACGTTCCAGTCCCGGGGGTCAGAAGTATCCCCTGGGGTTTCGAATTGGGTGTTCGCGATCCGTTGCCTGATATCGTGACGGACTTGGCTGGTCTCGCTCGTAGCTCTTCGCGGCTATTCGCGGGCGTTCCAAACAGGGCATTTCTGAAAGCTCTCGCCGCAAAGACTGGCGCAGGGGTATCGGGCTGATCGATTTGCGTGGTATCTAGACAATAGACATTCTTATATTAGCTCATGTGTGAGTATGAATGGGACGCAGGAGCCCGAGTTTACCTCCTTCGTCCAGTCCATTGGGGGCGTTTTCGCCGCGATTCAGCATCCAACCAAGCATTTTGATAAATGTCTCGGATATAGAATATGGAAAGGGGATATCAAGACCAAGGCGGAATGAAAGAGAAGGCCCCTATGCACGAATGCAACAGATAGTTGGGCAAAAAACTCGCATGGGTGTGGTCACACTCGTAGGTGAGGCGCGTGTACCAGCATGCGATGAGGGTCGTGGTGGTTTGTTTACTTGAAGTCCGTAAAGGGCTGAGTGGATCAGCACCAACTTACCACCGCCGCGTGCTCGGGCGCATTAGATAGCCTTTCCGCTATAGGACTAGCCACAACGCCGCCTTTGTTCCTATCAAGCGGGTTGTTTTATTCCGCGCGAGGTCTGCCCATCGTAAAAGCGGCGGCCGCAGGGGTCCGTCCGTGCCACAGGACCAGGACAATGAACCAACCGGATGGAAGCCCCTGTAGGTACAGTGTAAGTTGAGGCAGCGCTGCCCAACCCAATAGCGCCCTCCCCTACAATAGGTAGCCACCCGGCCACAGCAGCCAGCACAGCAGCTGGACACCGCTCTTCACTGGTGTGCCTGCACTGCGACCGAAGCGTGACGTCTGTTGCCCCGCTAGATTGCCATCCATTCCAGACGCCGTCGAATCGCATCTTCATTTGTCCATCTGACAACCCATATTCACCGATTTATTATATTCAACAGTATTCAAGCTTCAAAATGAGTTCTAATTGAGTTGTCACGGCTCTGGCTGTGGCAATAACTCCTCTGGAATATCTGAGCATCATGGCTTGGAACGCATCTAGAGCTCGGGGGACCCCTCAATTAGATAAAATCCCAGCACCGAAAGACTTGAGCTTTCCGGGCCTCCAGGCCACCAGCCCATCTGTCACCACGCCGCGCATCGAATATGAGGAACTCCAACAGAATGAAATCCTTGCTCTTGAGGCCATTTACGGCGAAGACTTCAAAAACCATACCAAAGATCAGGGTGCCTGGAAGGTTCATATTGGCTGTCCCCGTCCCGTCCAAACACTGATGACTCACATGTATCTGTAGAAATCTGAACCAACTTTCGACATCCACATCAGAGCATGGAGCGATGATGACTTTTCGGTGACTATTGGGTTTGTAATGACTGCTACATATCCAAAGACACCTCCTATTTTGACTATCAAACATCATGACTTTCTCAGAGAGGTTACCCAGTTCAAGATCCAGAAGTTCATTGAGACTCAGCCCAGAATCTTTGCCAAAGATGAACAGGAAATGATTGACAAGATTGTGGAAGGAATTCGAGATATTCTTGAAGACGCAGCTCAGGCCAAGGCGAACGGTAAAAACCTGCCATCCCTTGAGGAGGAGCGGGAGCGTCATGAAAGCAACCTCGCAGAGCTAGCCAAGGAGCAGAAGGAGAAGGAAGAACGAAAGAAGGAACAGGAAAGCAAGGAGGAAGAAAGAGTGATGGCCGCCATGCTCCAGAATGAAATCGATCGCCAACGGCAGAGCGCAAAGGATTCCAAAACCGGCCGAGGCATTAACGGCGCCGCCCATTCCCAGCCCTCCGAGAACAAGGATGCGGATATCGAAAAACTCGATTTTGACCAGCTCTGTAGTACAACTGACAGGTCTGGAAATCCGATATCCTTCCGGTCGGTGACAGGTAAATGCGACCCTCTACAAGGACAAGTTTCCGTCGTCTATGTCGTCCGGCCTGTGCTTTCGAACGGGCACGGGAGCTATACCATGGCGCTCAAAGAAGCGGTGCTGAGGTCCAGTAACAAAGACTCGAAGGACCTGAAGAAGCATATTCAAGGTCTGGAATCAAGGTTGCAAGATCTCAAGCACAGCAAGGCCCTCCAGCACCGACATCTCGTTCAAGTCCTCGATTTCAAGGTTGAGAATAGCTCATCGCACTCCGCGACTTCCAGTAATTGGAAGGTGAGTATCCTCACACCTCTCGCTGACAAGGGGTCACTGGGCGAGTTTTTGGAGCTTGCCGGTCGTTTGGACATCGGAAAGGTTCGATCTTGGACTCGCGATCTTCTTGACGCCCTGAATTACCTCCATAATAAGAACATAGCCCACCAAGATATTCACCCGGGGAATATTCTTTTGTTCCGGGAATCAACAGGTGAAGTGGTTCCGAAGATTTCCGACATTTCTTATCAACGCGAGCTGCACAACCTGAGTGCTCAGAAACGCGGACTCCCTGGACTCGGTTCAGCTAAATCAGCCTATTGGCTCCCACCAGAAATCGCAGGTGCTTCGAAGCCTCAGTATACATACAAAACTGATATATGGGACTTTGGGATCGTCTTTACACAGATGATATTTGGTTTAGATGTCCTACGCACATATTCTTCCCCCCGAAATTTGATGGAATCCCTGACTCTCTCTCATTCTCTGCTTGAGCTTGTCAGTAGGTTCTTCAAGGAAGACAAAAATAAGCGCCCTCGTGCGTTTGAGCTTGGATCCAGCGAGTTCCTTGCGACAGATGCTCCAGTTTTCGCTGAAGAATCTCCCACTCTTGTATCTAATGCACCGCTACTAAGCTCTTCGGTCCAAGGGATGCCAGCAAAGTTCAGACGCGACTCCGTAACCAGAAGCACCGTTGCATCTCGGTACACCGAGGATTTTGTCGAGGAGGGTCGTTTGGGTAAGGGTGGTTTTGGCGAAGTGGTCAAGGCAAGAAAGAAATTGGATGGTCAGATTTATGCCATTAAGAAAATCAGCCAGCGCTCTCATGCTAGTCTGACCGAGATTCTCAAGGAAGTCCGGCTGCTGTCGCAACTCAGTCACCCAGCAGTTGTCAGATACTACAATACCTGGGTTGAAGAGGTCCCTGATACTGGAAGTGTCGAAGGCGACACATCGACCGAGGGATACACAGATGAGACCCGGGAAACTGGATCGGACGGTGTCGACATACAATTCCATACGGACACAGGGGGTCTGGATTTCATGTCATCAAATGCTGGCATTGAGTTTGGCTACGATGATGATTCGGAAGAAGGCGACGACGATGAGACCGAAGACGAGGAATCAAGCGATGAAGATGATGAAGCAGTAGATGATCAGTCTGGGTCTTCGATGAAAATCAGACCAATCGGTATCAACAATCGACGAGACCGTTTCCACAGGCCTTTCAGAACGATAATGTACATTTCGATGGAATACTGCGAGAAGCGAGTAAGTTTGGCTTTCCTTCATGCTCCATAGCAAGACTGATGAAGATAAGACCCTTCGTGATCTCATAAGCCGTGGCTTATACAAAAACACGCCTGAAATATGGCGACTGTTTCGGCAGGTTCTCGAGGGCCTTGCGCACATTCACAGCCTCAGTATTGTACACCGAGATTTGAAGCCAGAGAACATCTTCATCGGAAGTGGTGCCGATGGAGTAGACAATGTCAAGATTGGTGACTTCGGGCTTGCGACAAGTGGACAGTTCTCAGTTGACAAGGCCGCGGCGAATACCTTTGATACGGATGATTTAACCAAAAGCATCGGGACCGCTTCGTACTCGGCCCCCGAAGTGAGATCAGCCGCGAATGGCATGTACAGTACCAAGGTTGATGTGAGTCTACACTTCACTTCAGCATTGATATGATCTCCACTAACCACCATGTCGTTTAGATGTATTCCCTTGGTATTATATTTTTCGAAATGTGTTACATACCTATGATGCATATGCAAAAGGCAGATGTTATCGGCCAACTTCGACGGCAGCAGCCAGTGCTTCCATCTGATTTCAAGCCGGCCGACAAGGTCCAATCGGAGATAGTGCTTTCTCTTGTCAGCCATAACCCCAAGGAGCGGCCCTCGAGCGCGGAACTTCTAAAGAGTGGCAAACTCCCCGTGCAGATGGAGAGCGAGACAATCAGACGTACACTGGCTGGTCTGTCTGATCCAAACTCCCCCTACTACCAGAAAATGTTGTCGACTCTATTTTCTAGACCGGTTGAAACGACACGAGACTATGCTTGGGACATGTTCGCAACTTCTCCCAACGCAACGGATTTGTTGCATCAGAGTACCGTGAAGCAGTCCTTGATCTCAATCTTTCGACGGCATGGTGCCTTGGAGGCGGCTAGGACGTCGATTTATCCTAAATCTACATTCTATGGCGACAATGTGTTCCGCGTCCTGGACTCGAACGGAACTGTTTTACAGCTTCCGTACGACTTGACAATGGGCCACGCACGAATGCTGGCAAAATCGTCTCATAACCCTGCAGTGCAGCGCACATTCACTTTCGGGAGTGTGTTCCGAGACAAACAGGATACTGGCCACCCGCAGATGTTTGGAGAAGTTGATTTTGACATCGTGACAATCGATGCACTTGACCTTGCGCTTAAAGAGGCAGAGGTCTTGAAAGTTATTGACGAGATCATAGTCAATTTCCCGTCGCTTTCATCCTTGCAAATGTGTTTCCACCTTGGACATTCAGATCTGTTGCAGCTGATTTTCGAACATTGTGGGATAGAGCCCGCTTTACGAAGAGGGGCAGCTGATGTTTTGAGTAAACTGAACATCCATGGCCACACTTGGCAGAAGATTAGAATTGAACTGCGAAGTCCAGTTGTGGGTATTTCAGCCACGAGCGTTGACGAGCTCCAAAAGTTTGATTTCCGGGGTGCGTTGCGTAATATCTGATCATCAAGTTTAAATGAAACGGTCGCTAACAACGTTTAGATTCACCAAACAAAGCCTTTTCTAAACTCAAGAACCTGTTCGAGGGAGGTGAGATGTATCAAAGAGCAGCAGCCACCATCGCACATATCAAAGAGGTTATTGAATACTCGAAACGATTTGGAGTAGGGACCAAGATTTATGTCAATCCGCTCAACAGCTTGAAGGAAGGATTCTATACAGGAGGGCTTCTCTTTTCGTGTCTCTATGACAAGAAACTCAAGGATGTCTTCGCAGCGGGAGGTCGATACGATCACCTCATCAAGGAGCAACGCCCAAGAATTGGTGGGCAGATTCATGAACGGCATGCTGTCGGATTCAGCTTGGCCTGGGAGCGTCTTGCCCGGATTCCCAAAAACGCAGGGAAGGCCTTCTTGAAAAAGTCAGAGGAGGAACAGAACGGGATCTTCACCACCAAGCGTTGCGATGTACTTGTTGCCAGCTTTGACCCGGCAATATTACGAGCCGCCGGGATAGACTTGCTACAAACGCTCTGGGCGCACGAGATAAGTGCTGAACTTGCTAAGGACTCTCGGTCGCCCGAAGACTTGATAGCCAAGCACCGCGATGAGTCTTACTCCTGGATTATAGTCGTCAAGCCAGAGGCTATGCTGAAAATCAAAACCATGGGAAGGAAGGATGTTCAAGACGCAGACATCCCAGCAAGCCAACTTCTAGCCTGGCTCAAGTCTGAGATGCGGGATAGAGATTACAAAGCCCTCGCTAAACTGAGAGGCTCGGTCGAATCGCCTCAGGTAGCTAGCGACTCCAAACGAGAGCAGGACGTCCGAGTTCTTGTCGGACAAACCAGGAGCAAGAAGTTCAACCGACGCACGGTGGTGGAGCAGGCCCAGGTCAAAGCGGCCAGCCTGATGGAATCATTCCTTGATGGGCCGATTCTCGCCGTCGAAACCTCGAGTGACCAGGTTATCGATCTCATCCGCGACACAAAGCTCTCCGACCCCGATAGTTGGAAGAAGGTAGAGCATGCAGTTACGACTTCGGAGAAGAAGTATGTCCGGGAGATACATGACCAATTAGATACCTGGCGTTATGCATACGAGAAGAAGGGGGGCTGCCAGCACTCCTTTGTTTATCACTTCAGGACTGGAACATGTTTGTATTACGATCTCGCAGCATGATCTGAGCGAAACAGTTGGGGGATTGGATAGATGGCGAGTTTCAAGCGGAGACACAATATACCAACTTCACATATCCATACCTCTTAGCTAGGTGACGCAAATAAGTTGACTAAGTTTACGCAAACATCGTTCGGAAATAAGTTTACAGCCTTGGCCAAGGATATATCAATCATGAGGGACACCTTCGGGCATGGTCGCAGTGCTGTGGTATAGACAATTCATGCGGTGAACAGATGTGACTGTAGATCATTGGCTTGGGATCCTTATCGACCTGTCTCCACTGGGTATGACTTATACGAATGATATGGATAGACATCGAGCTTTCAGGCCCTATCCAAGACGGAAATTAGGGATTATAGCTTACGAATTAACCGAGACTCATATTATCTCACTGAGACACCGTACAGGATGAATCAATGTGACTAAGCTGGCAGACAGGAGGCAAGAAGCTAGATACTGCAACAAGCTCCATTCTTTCACGACTGGGCTGTGTATGAGATTCATCTGAGAATAAATATCTGCACTGCAGTCACCAAGTTTGTTGCTGTATCAGATACTAACTTTTGGTACTAAATCAGACAATATAATACACAGTCACTTCCAGAAACACAGTACTTATCCAACAAAACCCTAGTCTTTTCGAGTATATACAATTATACTTGGGGAGACTCTGCTTCGTTCAAAGGCATTCCCTGGTCCTCCCAGGCACAATGGACAAGGTAGGGGTCTTCCTCCTCGGGCAAAAACTGACCCGTCACCATGCAGTCTCTTGTCGGTATCGGGATGAATTCTCCCTTGAAGCTGAACCAGGACGGAGGCTTGCTGCCTTTTACATGAACATAGACCCCCCGCTCCTCCGCCGCCCTCATGGTCTTGGGGAAGGGGAAATGGTCAGGGGTTTCATCCGGTGTAGCCTCAGCCTGGATGTCCCGCAAATGGACAGCCTTGAGATTCTTGTATCGCTCTGATGTAATCATCGCCTCGACTGCATCATCCACATAATCTAGTGACGGGTCACCGAACTCCCCAGATTGGAAGATACTGCGACTTCGAGAGAATCCGTTGAAACATACCATCTCAATTGTAGCCGGGAACTGAGATCGAAATACCTGAAGAAGTTGGTCCAGAAGCTCTGACCGGGATCGCACTGCTGCAGCTCGACCCGCTACCTCTTCTTCAATGATGTTCCAGGAGAAGTAGGCCACGCGGATATCCTCAAACATGACACGTTGGCTTGGTGCCACCCAGTTCCAATCCGATAGTCCGTCGCGGACGGCCTCGGTGTAGAAGCAGAGCCGCTGGAGAGATGAGTGCTGGTGCTGGGCGAGTTTTTGCGTCAGCTCCTGGGACCTTTGTTCACCATCACTGGTGTCGTCCCTTCTGCAATTACCGTACTCGTTGAAGCGGTGGAACCGGATGGCGAGATTTTTGAGGCTGCTTGGGGTTTTGGTTATAAATTCCATCAGTTGTTCGCTCAGGCTGGCTTCTAGCTTGTCGATGATGATGGTTTGGACTGGTGATGTCTTGTCAAGCAGGGGCTGAAGGCCATCTGGGAAGAGATCCGTAACCTCGCTGCTGAACTCGGAATTCCCGTCCAAGTGGGCAAAATATACTTCAGATAGGTTCGGGAGACACAGCAGAGCACAAAATTCTTCGAGCTCCCTCGAAGGGGGATCGGGTCGCAAGATCATGCCATCAATCGTGGTGTCGCCAATTCGACGAGAGTTTACACCCACGTAAACTTTTTGCAGTGCTTCAAGCCCAGGCAGCCAGATACCAGCAAGCTTGCACCAATAAATCATAAGACACAGGCTTTTGAAGTTCACCTGTTCTGATTCAGGGCTCCGCATATAGCGTAGGGCCTGGATGCGTGGCAGATGGGCCAGCAGGAAGGCTTTGAGGAAGGTATCTGCGCCTGTTTTAAGCTCTTCCCGGACTTGGACATAATATGTATCGTCCTCGGGGAAGAAATCCGGCACCTTGTATAGTTGATTTAAGAAGTAGTCAGTGTCATCGTCAGGAAATGACCAGGGCTCCCTCTCCTCAACCACCCAGAGGTCGCCAGTGTCCGCATCAACCTCCCAGGGATCGTCATTTATCCTATCAGTCCAGACCTCAAACTCTCTGACGTGCCAAGCGTCAATCGAGGCTGCGCCCGGGCTTAAGGCACTCCATAAAAGGTTAGGAACAGTCTTAGGGTCGAGATCGCAGCTGATCCTGAACTCCTGGTGCGCCTTACGATGTCGGCCAAGGATCGGCTGAGAGTTGAGGTATATATGCTTGCATGTCTGTGCAAGAGGCCAGTGGCCTGAGGCATGAGTGTGCTCGATGATGAGCTGCAGGATCTCGGAGGGGAGAGCGGCAAGGTAGGAAGTCGAATCCATGAGAAACTCAGTTACTGCCTCCTCTAAGGCAATATAGGGTAAGGAGGTTGAGATGAGGATGAGGTCAAGTGAGATAGACGTGAGGAGAAGCTTGACTCGGATCTGGTTGCGGGGATCAGCCACTGTGGAAGGTGAAGAGGGCAGAAACAGCCACTGCTTTATATTCCCATTGGTTGCAGAAGATTAATCAACCGAAGCAATACAACAGGGTATTTGGGAGGGTTTATTATTAGGCAACCTGAGTCCCAAGCACACTTGCATTTGCTGACTAACACAGGCTGGGCTCTGGTCCAGCCGCCAGGCAAAACTCCAGCCAGCACTCCCAATGAAAGAAAAGGCTGACACGATGTACACAATCCATTCCGCCGGATGGGCTATTACGCAAGGACGGTCCCGTTGTGTGACAGGTAGATTAATGGCGTTATGGCACCCTGCCAGTCTAGCAATATGAACGGAAATCCCATATGGGCCCCAGTTTTGCTCGCTTACCTGCCGCAATTAATGCATCAGTTTGATAAAATAAGTCAAACAAAGCAACTTACTAATATGGCTAGATCAGCATAACCTGAAGGTACTCCCTTTGATCCGAAATATTCAGCGCACCATAGGCCCTATGAGCCTCGCTACAGCCTTGATGTTGGGAACATGAATGGATACATACGTGATGGTACTTGCAGTTTTCCAGTGGATATCCAGTTTCTAATGTAGAAAAAGTGGAAAACTGGGACACAGGCACAGTAGAGATCTATTTTTAGAGCTGTGGAGCAGGGGCTAAGACAGCCGCAAGCAAGATGGAAGCACTTTGAACCAAGATGGAGGCACTTTGAACCAAGTCGCAGAAAATGCGGCGAACTATTGCTAGGTTCCTTGCTAGCACAGGGCTGGATCTCTATAGAACCGCCCTCAAGCGCCCCATGTTAATACCAAAGTACCTTCAGCATATGTCGTATCCTCGGAATAGGCCTGCGGTGAGCCTAGTGGAGAGAGATGATCAAGGGCAGGGCTTCTAACTACACCACCAAGGCAGGCCAGAAGCTGAAGCCTATGGTTCCTAACCGGAATGTCCAATCAAAACGAAACGCATTATTCTCCTGAATATAGATTCTATGGCATGATGGGCCTATACGCCCAAGAAGCTCGGCGCACTAAAGATAGAGTACCTATGGGTCTTGGGTCATGTTTGGAGGAGCTAAGTCAACATTGGTGATGCTGCAATTATATGACGGCCATGGAATGCATCTTGATGCATGTCCTGAATATCATCAAGGCCTGGAATCATGTTTAATTCCATTCCACTCCATCATTTCATACTGAATTTGAATATATAGCTCCTTTTTAATCTGCCTATGGCTGTTATTGCCAACCATGCTTCTCTACAACATTCTTTGCACCATTTCCTGCTTCGCTTTGACGGCGAAAGCAGGAGAGGGAAACGAGAGGAAAGGCTCTGTATTGCTGTCCATTCCTGAAAATCCTAAACAATCAGTCAACGCCAACCAAGCGAGAGGTATCTTGGGGGTCAATGATGCAAGTCTAGCTCGACCAACAGACACTCCAGGTAAGTTGCAATCGAAAGGGAGGAGGTAACAGACTAACAAAGTAAATGCAGACTATTGTGGTGTCGATCAGCAAGCGACAAACAATGGTTCCTGCAGAATCATTACAGGGCGACAAGGCTTTACCAGTGACGAGTCTGGCGGCCCGAATATTATCAAGCGCGAGACAAACATAGAGAACAGGGCTCCTACCGAAGGCAATGGTCTCACCAGAAGAAAGGCAGCTCCGAAGGCGGCCCCCAAAAAGGCTGCTGCGACTCCCAAGAAGGCGGCTGCACCAAAGAAAGCGGCTGCTCCCAAGAAAGCTGCCCCTCCCAAGAAAGCAGCTGTTCCCAAGAAGGCTGCTACTCCTAAGAAAGCCGCTGTACCTAAAAAATCCGCCCCTCCCAAGAAAGCAGCTACTCCTAAGAAGGCGGCTACTCCTAAGAAAGCGGTTGCGAAACCGAATAAATCTGCTGCCAAAAAAAAGAAGGCTGGTGGAGCTACAAAGGGAGCATCAGCGAAGAAGCCTGTTGGAGCCAAGAAGCCTGTTGGAGCCAAGAAAGCTGCTGCGAAGCCAAAGAAAGCTGCTGCTAAACCCAAGAAAGCTGCTGTTAAGCCAAAGAAGGCTGCTGCCGGACCGAAGAAGACTACTGGCTCTAAGAAGGCTGCTGCCAAACCAAAGAAGGCTGGCGGAGCTACAAAGGGAGCAGCAGCGAAGAAGCCTATTGGAGCCAAGAAACCTGTCGGAGCCAAGAAACCTGTCGGAGCCAAGAAAGCTGCTGCCAAACCCAAGAAGGCTGCTGTAAAGCCAAAAAAAGCTGCTACCGGTCGGAAGAAGACTACTGGTCCTAAGAAGGCTGCTTCTAAACCCAAGAAAGCTCCTTCTAAACCCAAGAAAGCTGCTGCAAAGCCAAAGAAGGCTGCTGCGAAGCCAAAGAAGGCTGCTGCCAAACCCAAGAAGGCTGCTGCCAAACCCAAGAAGGCTGCTGCCAAACCCAAGAAGGCTGCTGCTAAACCCAAGAAGGCTGCTGCTAAACCCAAGAAGGCTGCTGCTAAACCCAAGAAGGCTGCTTCAAACCCGAAGAAAGCTGCTGGACGGAAGAAGAATACTGGCCCTAAGAAAGCTGCTGTCAAGCCAAAGAAGGCCGCTTCCAACCCGAAGAAAGCTGCTGGACGGAAGAAGAATACTGGTCCTAAGAAAGCTGCTGTCAAGCCAAAGAAGGCCGCTTCCAACCCGAAGAAAGCTGCTGGACGGAAGAAGGCTGTTGGCCCTAAGAAAAGTACTGGAGCTCAGAAGGGAGTAGCGAAGAAGCCTACTGGTCCCAAGAAAGCTTCTGGCTCTAAGAAAGCTGGTTCTAAGAAAGGAGCAGTAGCTAAGAAGGTCACCGGAGCCAAAAAAGCTGCTACTAAACCGAAGAAGGCTGGTGGTCCTAAGAGCGCCTCTGGATCTAAGAAAGCTGCAGGAACGAAGGCTACTACACCTAAGAAGCCTGCTAGACTCAATAAAGCCGCTGGTTCTAAGAAGACTGCTGGGAAGCCAAAGAAAGCCGCCGGTCCAAAGAAAGCTGCTGGTCCAAGGAAGACTGCTGGGAAACCAAAGAAGACCGGTGGAGCCAGGAATGGAACACCAGCTAAGAAGCCTGGTAGACCCAAGAAAACTGGTGGTCTTAAGAAAGGTTCTGGGTCTAAGAAGGGTTCCGGGTCTAAGAAGGCTGCTGGGAAACTAAACAAGGCTGGAGCCAAACAGAAGAAAGTTGCTGGGAAACAGAAGAAGGCTGGTGGACCAAAGACACCCAAGGGTACATTGAAAAAAGGTTCTGTGAACAAGCATGCTCCAAAGAAGGGTGCTACTAGGAAGGCTGGTCTCAGCAAAAAGCCAGTGGGCAATAAGAAATCTGCCGGCAATAAGAAGGCTGCCAAGAACCAGAACTTCTCCAACCAGAGGAAGGCTGTCGGGAACAACAAGACTGCTGGAAAGAAGATTGGTGGAAAGAAGACTGCTGGAAAGAAGACTTCACCAGGCAAGAAGACTGCTAGAAAGAAGACTTCAACAAGCAAGAAGACTGCTGGAAAGAAGACTTCACCAGGCAAGAAGACTGCTGGAAAGAAGACCTCACCAAGCAAGAAGACTGCTGGAAAGAAGACTTCACCAGGCAAGAAGAGACCTGGTCCGAAAAGGCCAACAGGCAATAAGGCGACTACTGGCAACCAAAAGACCCTCGGCAATAAGAACTCGGTAGGCAATAGGAAGCTAGTTGGCAACAACAAGACAACTGCCAACGGGAAGGTTTCTCATAGTAAACAGCCACCCAGCCAACCAAAGGCAGCCAACCATAGGGAGCTTGGGAATAAAAATAAACCGTCAGGTCAGAATCGGAATCTTGGCAGCAACAATAAGGCACCGGCAGGCCCAGCAAGCTGTTCCATTGGAGGAAAGTCGAAGCGCGGCGACTGCGGCGCTCCTACTAATGATGATGGGTCGTCTGGCAAGGGAAAGGCTCCAGCTGCTTCAGATTCACCGAGAAGGAAACCTGGTGACATTAAGAGTCTACCCAAGTTGACGATACCCTCCAATACGGAGAGTTCCGAGTCAAGCAAGCAAGACAGTGGAAGCCCTCAAGAGAGACCGAAGACAGCCTCCAGCCCACATCGTAGTAAAATACCGGTAAAGTCGCCCACCAGGCCAGGGGGCGCCCAGGCAGGCAGGAAAGCCGGTGAGAGTCATCAAGAGAACCCGAAAACGCCCGCCAACCAGGCAGGCAAGCAAGTCAGTGGGGATCTCCCAGAGAGACCGAAGAGCCCAACTAAGATACCATCACCGAAGTTTCAGACCGGTGGGAGTCTCCGGACAAGCAAGCATGATGGTGGATCAAATGGTGCCAAGAGGAAGCAACCAGACAATGATACCCAACCCCGGAAGAAGAGAATAGGAGGTGGGATCTTCAACCAGAACCGGATTAAACCAGATAAACCAACAGTCAGGATTGAGAAGGTACATGATGCCGGGAAGTCCCAAGCAGGCAAAGGACCTCAGACTAATCCTCCTGTGAAGAACGGGCAGAGCACGCAGTCTGGTCCATCTGGGCAGAATAGGCAGTCTGGATCATCTGGGCAGAACAAGCAGCCTGTACCGCCATCTCAAGCCAAGAATGCCTCGGGAGGGCGCCAACCAGACCAGAAGGGCTCCTCCGTGAAGAAGCCTCCTGTGCGCAACGGGGCGAACACCCGGCCTGCTCAGGCGCCACAGAACAAACCCAAGGGCAAAGCTGCTCAGGATGTCGTGAAAATAAATCCTCCCGTTAAGCCACTGAATGTAATGCACGACCCAAAGAAGCCCGCCCCAAAATCCGCGGAACAGATCAAAAAGGAAAAGGAGGTGGACGAGAGGGCCAAGAAAGAAAGGGAGAAATACGACGTGCCTTTGGACGACAATCGAGAGAATACCGTGCAGAAAAATGGCAAGCTCTTGAAGGGCAATGCTAACACCATGTACGTCAATATCTCACCGAACCCGTTCAGGGTCGACCCAAACAACTTGCCAACGTCGTATTCGCGCAAGGTCGGCGACGGGACCGACGTACCAGAAATCAAGAAAGACTCATCCGGTGCTACAACGAAGGGGGGGACAAGATTGGACGCCTACAAGACAGACACTCCAGGCTTCGCCATAGGCTTCAGCCATGGACAGCATTCAAAGTTTGATGATGGGCAGAGGACTTACAGGCCAGGCGAATTGGAAGAAGCGAGTACTACAGGGCACACATCCAAATCAGGTAATTAGCCTCCGCATGTCTTCCTATTCTGCCATTTGGACTGATCTAATGTGCTTTATAGGTGACCGTGAGTGGCACACATTTACGGCCAATTTACCGGAAGAACAGCGCAAGTTGCAACACAAGGACAGGATAGCGAAGGGCCTAGTGCCTCATGGTTCGCCAGTGCCGCCGGCCTTGACCCCTCTGGAATTGAACGAGGAGATGTACGGCCCTACCACCCTATTCTTGTGAGACATGGGACTAACATATATGACAGGAAGAAGAGTGTGGGGGGCTTCAAAAACCATTTCGCTGGCCAAAAGGGCACTCCGTACAGGGAGCACACGGACCGAATAATTGGAGGTGCCTATGATGGGCAGCACAACACGGACACAACAGTCGACCATCTGCCTGGAGCGAGATGAGAGCCATTTTCAGTTGGTTAATCTTTTAAATTTAAGAATTGTACATATCAGAGGAGTGAATGGTTGGGTTTCAAAAGATGCGAGAAATGGCAACAATGAGCTGCGGAATAGCTTTCAAATTCTTCTTCTGTTGGCAGATGCGGATCGCCTTTGCTATTATGAGGCCCTCGTCTGGTCTGGAATATGTGACCTTTTGGACCTAAAACACGCGGGCTGACGATGCTGTGGACGGGAGGCGCCTGGACGGTGCTGTGTCTAAGGGAAAGGGAGTAGGCCGTCGCTCCTTTTGCTCATCTACGTCCTGTATGCATAGCAATTTTGGCTACTCCTGAAGGGCTGTTTGGCAACCGGGATAGTTGCTGCACCCGTGGATAAGATTTTAGCTGGAAGAAGCACGCCTGCACTAGGAGGGAGGGGCTGAGGTGGAGGAAAAGATGGTGAGTGATAGTGGTCTTGCAGCGATGGTTGGAAGGTGTGACACGTTCGCGCGGAGTGGAGTGTGCTCCAGTTGGCAGTTTTGGCTTATCGTGAGCCCACGCGCCGCTAGAAAGGCGCACACGGGTAAGGCAGCGACAGTGGGTTTCATTCTAAATTGCAGTCTACATCAATTCGCCATCCATTTTTATTACAATGACGAAATATGAGCATTCACGGGATGTAGATGGAGAAGTTCAAGTCTTTGGGGGACCTCGCTGGGGGGGGTGCCTTAGTCACCTGAGTGAGCTATTCCGTTGGCCCTACTGAGATGGCGCCTGAGTAGGGTCGCCGATATGGCATATCAAATGTACCTTAGATACCTACCTAGGTAGGTAGCGTTTAAAAAACCAGATTCTGTTTGTATGCCATTTCTTGCTCGAGCCGAAGTGCAATGAACTTTAATTATTCCTGGGTTGTGGTGTGATTAAATCAGGTCCTTGTCCGAGGCTGAGTGTGGCGTCGTCAAGTCTCGCTTTTAAGTCACCGCCTGCTCAGCTGGGCCGATGGCTGGGCAGGCATTCGCAGCACTGGGCAGTTGTATAGTGGAGGTATCCCACAGGCGGAGTTGGCGTGTGACGTGACCTGAGGGGCGGCTGACAAGACCCCGATTCGGTCATCAAGGTGCAGTGCCATCAGTCAACTAACCTGACTCAATCAGCCCAACATTTCGTTTCCGTCCCTACCTTTTTTCGGGTGTGAAGTCCTCACGCATCTCGCCGTCTCCGGCTTCATTTTTTGCCCCTCTACGCCCTACACCTCCTTCCGCCCTCCTCTCTCTTCCTTTCCCTTTTCTTGGTACATACAGCACGGCATTGACCAACCCTGTTTCCTCTCACACTAAACCACCCGACCGACCATCACCGCTCCTACTGCCAGCGTTAACCGGCGCCCCTTCGTGCACGTGCATACCGAACGAGTAGACTTTCGCCCTTCTCACAGTACTTTCTCGACCTCTCGTCCGTCGGCCTACCTATTTCCTATCCTACCATCATCATGGCACAGAAGCGGCTGCTCCAGGAGCTCGTTCCTCTTCAGAAGGAGAAATGGGTCAACATTGAGGTAGGACACGCCGGTGATTTGTCATTCTTCGGTGCTGGGTGCTAATTCATGTATCTTCTTGCAGGTTGACGACGCGAACTTGTTCAAATGGAAGCTGGGGCTTTGGGTTGTCAACCCCGAGAGTGTCTGGCACGGTGCCTTTCTCAAAGTCCGCCTCGCCTCTCCTCCCCGCCGCCTCTTTGCGGTAGACTGACGGATAACCTTTAGGCCGAGATGCGGTTCCCAAACGAATACCCGTACCAACCCCCGACCTTCCGCTTCACGACGAGGGACATCTTCCACCCTAATATCTACACGGACGGAAACCTGTGTATCTCCATCCTGCATAAACCTGGAGACGATGCCCAGTCTGGAGAGTCTGCTAGCGAGCGATGGAACGTCCTCCACGGGGTTGAGTCAGTGCTCCGCTCAGTTCTTCTCCTTCTGGATGACCCAGAGATCAACTCCCCCGCAAACGTGGACGCTAGCGTCATGTACCGCGATCACCGCGATGATTACAATGCCCGGGCCAAGGTCACAGTGGCATCTACCAAAAAGGACATACCCGCGGGCTTGGAGATGCCCACCGAAAAGGAACTTACCGCGGCACCAGTCAACCCGGTCGACGATGACCCGGACTTTTGGAACATGACTGACGAGGAGGATGACTTTGGCGCTAGTGATAGCGATATGAACGATTTTGAGGACGACGAAGATGAAGACGAAAACGATAAGTGAATTTCTCGTCTGTCTACGCCGCTCTATTCAAGATAACTCGGGCCATGGGTCTTATCACATTGTTGAGTTATTGCGGTTTTCTGGTTTTCATCCCTCTCTCCCCAGTCTGTTCCCAAAAACATCACTTCAAGGGTGGTTATTTTTCTCTACACACATTTACTGCATAGCGCTGGTTGTGTCTATTATTCCTTTCTTTTCATGTTTGTCATTTTCCACTAGAGGGCGTTGAGAGCGTTGTTGGTCACCTACCAAAACGTAAAAGCGGCAGCGGGACCGCAGCGCCAATAGCGTTGGGTTCATTTTTCTCATGGACCATTGGAGTATAGATATTTGAATTATGAGATGCGCCGTCACTTTTATATGCTGCTTTTTACCACATTTCACAAACCCCCCCTCACTTTTCTTGAGTTCGTCCATCATTTGACCTTTTGACTACATCAAAAGTCTTCATATATGACCAATAGCAAGTTAATTTTCGCTTTTCGTGTATCTTGAATTCTTCGTTTATTCCCGCTACTAGCTGTCTCTAAGAGCTTGGAGGTGACATGCTTGGATAATCCCACATCAATTTGGCATGGTGACAAAAGTGCTTTGATGCTTGGGGGCATTCACACGCGCCGTCATGGGTCAGTAGGCAATCATTACTAGAGCCTGGAGCGTTAGATTTGGAGGTTGAACTTCAGCCAATAAAAAAAGTGTTTTTTTTTTTTTTTTCAAATCTACATATCATAAAATAGCCATATGGATTTTCCCCTTGATGTAGGCTCAGATTGCTAATGTGAGAGACATGTCTGGAGTCAGAGGTGTGACGTTGACAAGTGGGCTGCTTATCTTATCAGTGGCCCGTCTCGCCTTGCAGTCCAAGAAGAGGAGCTTCAATTGTACGTAGGTAGCTCGTGGCTTACGACGAAACCACAACCACGACACCTCATCTACAAATCTGTCAGAAGAAAAGAGCATTTAGTCAGCATCGAGCCCTTCCAAATTTAGACCAGATTATCCCCCGGATTCGAAATCGACCGCGCTGCGTCACCTGCCGAGCAACCAAGCCCACTCGACAGCCGGTTAAGCCCACAGAGAACCCCAGAACTGGTGCCCCGTCGACGCTGCGCTCGCTGAGGTCATCTCCACTGGCAACTCAGACCGCGCGTACAAACCGAGAGATCATCTGCTTGCTTTTGCAAAGTTGCCGAGTTTGTCTTATATGTGTTGTTAGAAGGACCGGGGAGGTTACAGGATATCCGCGATGGCGGCTTTGGAACCTTCAGAAGATGCTGTTTCCACAGTCATTGAGGTGACGGAGCTGGATCCTGTGCAGGACCGGGATATGGTCAGGCAGGCGTTAAAGGTGCAGTGACAACATGTCGAATCCGAGATAACTTGAGGCTAACGAGGGAAACCGTGGCAGAGTAACAACGGAGATGCTCAAACAGTCATTCTTGGCTGGTACGAAGACCGCGATGGCGTACGTTTTGCCTTTGTCGCAGCATCTCTTCACGTTCCTCCATACTGATTCGTCCTGCAGTTTCGACAGAAGTATACCAATAAGTGGGACGAGTCGATGTTCCAGGCGGACAGAGATGGCTCAAATTATAATAATGGGATATGTATGTTTCCTCGATGCTGTCTTGCTGGGGTAACAACACTGACGCCGCACAGCCTTCCATATCGAATCTTCGAACCAAAACGACATTGTTTCAAGCGCAACCCCTCCTCCAGACGCCCACGGGTTAACTGCGCCGTCTCGCCCTCCATCAAGAACGAACAATAGATCACCGTTGGCTAGGGTTGTAGATTGGACTGCGGTCAACGCATCTGGTAGGCGTATCTGCCCACCCCCGCCTCACTGAGCTCATCTAACTATGTTCCAGTGGGACCTCCAACGGCACACGACCAGGAGGATGAAAATTTGCAGCGGGCACTGCGAGAATCAGCACAGGAAGCCGGGATCAGCGTACCTGCCCAGGAGTCAGGCGTGATCAACGCCTCGGCCCCGGGCCCTTATTTCGGCCCTGCCAACCGGAGCGACTATGATAGCAACAACTGGGCAATGGTCCCCGCAACAAAACCAGAAGTTACTGTTCGCGACTACGTTCCTGGTCCATCGTCAAGGAAAAGAGTGGATGGTGCACCCGCCTTTCTAGTTCAGGGTGACACTTCTGTCAGTGATCATCGTCTTGGTGGTCTTCTGACCATTCTTCATGAAATACCGCTTGCTAGGAATTCCCTCCTGGAAGCAGGCGGTGTTGCGGCATCGTACGGGCATAATAGCGAGTGGTGGCGGGGGCAGGAGATCCTTGCCCCCCATGTCCTTGCCAGGTTACAAGCTGGTGAGATTACCTTAGCCGACAAGTCGGAGACGAGCCCCGTCTTTGAAGAGGAAATCCACCGATTGATGGCATTCTTGGATTCAACCGATCGGAGCTATGGGACTGTCAGCGTACTCTTCAACCTGATTCCGTTTCCGGGGTTTGGACCCGAGAAACAGTTCTATGACCGGTTTGCGCAAAGAAACCCAGTGGAAGTCCAGCCGTTGTACACAAAAGTCATTTTGAACCAAGTTCAAGACGGAGAGGACCAAAACGAAGAGGTCTCATTTGGACTTCTCGAGGTGGAGCATGCGAAAAGCGAGTTTCAAAACATCAAGACCTTATACGAATCGATAGACCACATCATATGGGGAGATCTTCTCGCCTGGGGAGACAGTGCTGAGGGCGCTAAGATTGCCTACTTCAGAGAAATGGGTG